TCCACAAATCACATAATCATTAAAAGAAACTTAAAAGTGCAAATGTAATTTCAAGAATATAGTCAAAATGTTCGGTGAGAAAGGCAAAATGCACACCGGTTCGTCCTTGGAAGTGATCAGAAATGAAATCCCAATTGCCGGCACCATGTCTTTTGACGAGCTTCTTCAGGAGGTTGTCTTCCACAAGTGTCCAACGCCATTTGATCTGACGATGCCTCTTGAAGTTAGCTCCATTCCTATTTGTTGTTCTTAAGGTCACCATTGCTGCGGAAACAACGGTTCACTAGTTTAATAGCTTTCCTGTTGAGAAGCCTGAGCCGCAATATATAGATGACGGAAATCGAAAAAAACGCATAAATGCATAGCTGGAAAGAGCAATAATCTAAATATGATTATGTCGATAAAGTCGGATTACATAAATTACTTACATCATATTCACTGAATCAGGTAACAATACGCCAAATACGTAACCGAACATTAAAGACACAATCTCCCTCAACAAAAATTCTAGACTTTAATATAAATTTTAAGGCATATGCTTCCCCTATCACTAAACATGCCAAAGGAGTCATATGACAAATCATTCCATATGCCAATGTAAAGAAGTGCATCAAAAGCTAAAATAAATATGTGCATTGTCTTTCAGAAATTACGGTAGGATTTAAATCAAAGTGAAATATCAAATGCACGTTCCCCATGCAATGATTTTCTTCTTTTTTTTCTTCATTTATTTCTCAAGAAATAAAATTTACTCAATGTAATGTACTATAAAAAGGATAAGAAATCCGCCAAAGAAAAGGTTGTACAAAGACAGGACTAAAGCATTCTAGAGGTGGCCTCCAATCTCAATCATGTCTGAAACAAAATCACTGAACTCTTTATGCTCGATTACCCCAGAAGCTACCGTAAACATAATCCATCTCAATAACTTTGTTTGTTTTAGTTTAACCCTTCTAAAAATATAACAAATAAATAAGCATTTTAAGTATTAAGACATGCAGGGTAACTCTGAGTGCATTGATGGTGCATGCTGACTTCCAAAATGCTTTGTCATTTGATCATCTCCTAACATAAAATACACTCCCTCTGTTTCTTTCATCTACGGCATTTAAATAAGAAAAAAAGAAAACAGTTCATTATATCTGCACTTTAGGTTTTCTTTTGAAAATCTTGAGCAAATTAATTACATATATTCTTGAATTATGAGTGTATTAATGTTTTATCAAAATACTTGCTATTTTCTCCACCAGCAATGAATTTAATAGCAATAGTTTGAAGTTTTAATCAATAGCATCATAGATTTGATTAAATTTAAAAACACACAAAAAGAAAAAAAAAAAAAACAAAATCAATAACTGACTTTCTTAATCCTTGTAGAAAAATCTAGTAAGCCTGACAGAACAAAAATGAGAGTGTACTTTTAACAAATGACAAACGTAAGAGAACAATGGAATACATTTCACAAAACTGGATAGAGAATTTAATAAACTGTTTGAATTCATTTATTTTGATAGTTTAACGTTCTAGGTAGCATATCAACAATTAACAAATGACAATGTTTACCACAATGTGGATACCAATGTAAGTTTCAATCTAAAAGATGTTGCATAAGACAACAATGACTCACAAATAATGAAAGACTACAGCATGAAATATTTAGTCAGTTAAAAAACAAGATTACAATAAAAAATTAAGCCCACCATCCAATACAATTGTGAAATTACATTATAAATGAGATGAAAATGAAATGACCAAAACTTAATTCTAGTCCAATATTTTCAAATGTTCTTCAAATTTTTACCAAAAGCGTGAGGAAGTAGTGACAATATGAGTCAAGAAAGTTGGTCATACATTACCACAATACTGAAAATATAAGTTAAGAATATTACAAAATATCAGGATTTGCTAATTTGGTGATTGTTTCCATATAGAAATCCTAAGACGAGATATAGGAAGATGTTCATCTTCCAGAGTGATTCCGTGATTCCTTGAGGTTAATAAGGAGCGTGTAGCTTGAATAACACAATTAATCAACGACTACAGTTAATTATTTATTAATCATGGAAGAAAATAATCACATAAAAACACTTGGTTTACATACTCATTACTTTTAACCTTTGAAAGTATTAACGACTTGGGGAAGACCATGGCAAGCAAATGAGGCACTTACTACTTTGTACAGGCATGGTTACCCCAGCAGTAGTTCATTGTATAGAACAATCAAACTAAAGAAATAATAATATAAAGCATAAATCCAAAGACCAAACTTATCATATGTATGAGGCACAACTACACTAAAATGTAAGATTGAAGAAAAACATATCATTTCATAGAAAATTGAATCACAACATCATATTAGAATTTGGCCGACAAAGCAAGCTAATTAAATGGTAAAGATGCAAGTAATCCAAAGCTTCATGTTTACCTGCAGTATATTGTGCACATTTGCTGAGAAGTCAGTTAAACACATCCCTTACCCATAATTTGATAGTTTGAAAGAGGGAGATAAAAGTTAGTCATGAACAACCGGCATGAGTATATTAAGCTCCGCCAAAGAATCGCCACAAGAGGAACTTGATCAATGAGAGGAAATACTTATTTACGCATTTTCTTTGGATAACTTCTGGCATCCATAAGATCAGTAAGGGAAGGAAGGCGCTGAGGTACTGGAACATTCATAGACCTGTAAACCCTTCTAAAATTTTCATTATATGTACTCGAAGAACCAGTTGGTAAACCAGCATCATTTTCGAGTCGCCCTGGATTTATGTCTGTAGAAATGCAATTTATTTCTGCAAAATCACCCTTTCTCTTTAGTTTCAGTAAATCACCGAATTCGACGTCAGCAACATCATTCTGGGTACAAACATCTTCATTTCCAGTTGGTGTTGTCTCTGGGCAATCACTAACTGCCAGTACTTTCTGTTCGTTCTGGAAAGCAGAATCGTGAAGACCAGCCCTGGCTCTTCCAAATAACGTCAATGGGGGCCGTTTGCTTGGAGGAGATAAACTCAACCGCTTTTTTCGGTGTGTGGATGTGATAACTGGTTCAGGTTGGATCTCTACACAATTAATAGAAATATTGTCCTCCTGTGAACCGCCCAAATTTTCTACTGATTCATCTGAACCTAAAGATGTTACTGCACTTATGTCCATAAGTTTCTGGAGAGATCTATTAACAGATAGTTGATTGTTGAAACAGTGTTTCTTAACATAATTTAGCTCCATAGCCCTGCAGTTGGGTGTTGTTGACACCACCCATTTAGGAGCAAGAAGTTGCAATGCCCACTCTAGTTCTTCTCTGGATGAGTGTATTGAATAACAGACATGCCAAACACCACAAAGATCTCTAACAGCTTGATCTTGCCTTTCTTTTCTTCGCTTTTCCAACTCAGAAGTGCCAACATCACTAGCATACCACTGTGATGAAGGGCGTATAATAAGGGGCTCATGTTGAAAATTGGCACGAGCCTCGGCTATCCTTGCTTCAGCTCTTTCATATAGCTTTGGGAATCCATCAAATAGCTGAAAACGAGAAGCTGGGTCATGTGACATGACCTCGGGAACAATAAGTTCGAGAGATTTGAAGCATTCTAGATTCTTGGCTTTATCGACATATATCTTCTCACCAAACGTTCGAGAAACCTGTAGTAGAATATCTTCCTGACCTAGGAGATCACATGCCAGATACACTCTGCTGGCCTGAGGGTGTTTCCATATGCAATTGATAATCTGCTTCAGTAATATTTGGATTCATTACTAAGTGAGCATGCATTTTATGATTACAAGCGTATATAAATTTCAAGACACTTATTTCATCACTACTTCATTCTAACTTGTAAGTACGCTATCAGTCTTCTGTGTAAGAGAAGGACCTAAGTTCTAACCCCATGTGGATGGCTATCATAAACTAACAAAAAAATACACCATGCTGTACAGAACACATATGGATAAAAACCCACAGCTTCTTAGCTAGTTTTCGTTGACAGCTTGCAAGAAATTGAGGTTCAATAAATCTCAGATAATACCCCATGATTGATCCATCCAATATTTTAGCAAATTTAATATTTCAATTTCACACAGATATAAGTAACAAGACTTGAACTGATCTGTGAGCAATATATCAAGGTTATATGTGTCAGTGAGTAAGTGTGTGAAAGAAGCCAAATGTCTTTCTGCAATTAAAAAAAAAAACGCCTAACAACAAGCTACTCGAGTGAAACTGATGTACAGGACAAGCATACCTGCTGGACAGCCGTGTGCCTGCTGGGCATTGTCAGAGCACATTGACCAAACGTACAATCTAAAAAGATGTAATCAAGCGGACACCTAGGTTCTTTTCCTTCCTTGCCAATGAACTTGTCTGGTAGGCTTCGCAAACACTCAGGCACTAATCTGCAATCTCCTGTGTGCAAAATGTTACCGAAATTTCCTTCAAAGAGGAACATTAGAGCTCCTGCATCCACAAATTGCATATTTTCATGAGAACATTTAACAGCAAAGCCTCCAACTTATTCTTTCACAAGAGGAAAGTCTAACATCCATATAATAGCAAAAACAATAGCTAGAGCGACCCATAAACCTGGAGCAACTCGCAACACAATTCACCTACTGTACTACAGTGTAGGCAACAAGAGATTCAAAATAATACAGATCAGTTATGAGTGAATATAGAACATTACAATGGTCAATATATGTCATTTTCCAGTAGGGAACACACTTTTTTATAATATATACAAATTTGGGGAAACAGATGACCATTTGTATGCACAGAAATTCTAAATTTTATCCTAATAATCAATCGCATTAAAATGTAAGGAATCACACATGAACAAAATATGATGTCTCTATTTATCGTATATTGTCCACAAAAGTTTGGGGGCTTCCAATCAATCTCAAAGCTATAAGCAAGACATAACAGCGTAAGCCGCAAGGCAATAACAAAACACAAAAAAATTAACAAAAATCACAAAAAACATCAGCACATTAACCTGCAAAGCTCATGTATTAACATATGAATGAATAATGAACAGTCACAACTCAACTCACACAATGATTACTTTATTTATGAATGAATAATGAACAGTCACAACTCAACTCACACAATGATTACTTTATTTCAAAATACAGGCATGACATACAAACCTGGACAATGATTTGCATCAAAAGCAGTGACGATAAAATGGCCATCTGGATCCTCAAGAACCATCGACTGCCCAACCTCAATTCCAACAAACACCGATTCATCAAGCTGCAAAAACAAATTCGACAGGGACAGAAAAGAAAAACGAAGAAGATACTGGTAAATCATACGGAAAGCATTCAAAAGAGAGAGAGAGAGAGAGACGCACCTGAGGGTAGTGTAGCATGATGAGAGTCTTGGTGAGAAGAGAGGAGTAGATAGGGTAAGAAGCGTGGGTGACGATTCCCTGGGCGTGGTCTTTGTGAGCGTGGGTGAGGAAATGGTGGCTCTTCCGCTTGGAGAAAGGGGACCACGTATCCACCGAGAATGGCAACCCCCTTGGCATCTCTATCGGCATCTCCGATTCTCTCTTTCAAACAACAAAAGTGCGTCTAATTTTTTGGAAGTGGGGGGAAATTTGCTATGTACGCTGGGAAAGATTACCTGTTTCGTGGTCTATTTAGGCGTGGAGCTGTTGTATGAAGAGCCGGGTCCGGGCTTTTCCTCAACCGACATGGACAGTTTTATTTATTTATTTTCTTCTTCTTCTAAACAACAGATTTTATACAATAAAAACAGATAATTACAACTAGACATCTATTACTATTATAATAGCAATTAGTGCATAGCTCGTGCTATGCACGAGAAAATAATATTAAATAATAATTATAAATTAAAGATGCAGGTAAATAGCACTAAATAATGATAATAAATTAAATATTTGGGATTAAAATGTGATATAATTTACGTATATCGGTTTGTTGTACAATATAAAATTGTCATGTACAGAATAACACAAAACATGTATGTTTAAAGTATTATAAATACCTGTAGACATCCAAATTTTAATATTTTATTAATTAATATCTTTATTTATTTTAAGACATAAATCCAAGATAAATAAGATATTTAATTAATAAATTAAATATTTCTTGCCAACCAAGTCAAATCTTACGATAAGGAACATGAAAGATATTTAAATTTGTAACAACAAATTTTATGAGAAACATAAAACTTTTGTACAACTTGAATATATATTGATCAAACGATATGCGGGTGCAATCTCTATTTATCTCCTCTGATTCTTCTCTTCATGGATTTGGGCTTGAGACCTTGAAAGATGAATTTGACGATTGAATTACCTCAAATGACTTATTCACGTATTAAATGCTAGGACTTGATTTAATTGAATAAGACTTCTTGGAGAACTTATTTCTTTGATCTTCTTGAAAGAGAGATTTTGACTTGAATAATGTTGACTCGAGGGCTTGATAGCTTGTTCCTGGATCAAACGGTATGTTGGTTAAACTTCTCAACCAACGCGGCTTGAATGTCGCTTGAACGTCGTTGATGTTCGTGGATTGATTTGAGAGAGTGAAAGTCATCTCTTTACTTCTTGGGGAAGAGTCGCCGCCTCTTTTTCTTCTTCTTGGCCTTCTTCTTCATTGAACAAACTTCGGCGGTTCGAATGCTTGGTTGAGGGTTGAACGCGATCTTCAACTTGAATGCCCTTGGATCTTCAAGAACTTCTTCAAATCTTCAAGAGGATTCTTGAGAGCTCTTGAATTTGAGACTTTGATTTTTTTTAGCTGTCGGATTTGTTGAGGTGTGATTTGTGGCATTGAGGAGAGCCCTATTTATAGGTGTAGGAGAGAGAATCTTGGGAAAGAAGACATCAGTTTGATTGGTCCTTCACGATTTGATATAATCTCTTTCCTTATCCTTAGATTTGACTTGGTGGGCAAAAAATATTTACTTTATTATTTAAATATCTTATTTATCTTGGATTTATGTCTCAAAATAAATAAAGACGTTAATTAATAAAATATTAAAATTTCGATGTCTACAAATGCCCCCTTGAGACTTGTTCACGGACAAAATGTCTTGGTAGTGAATGAGTCTCAAAATTTTGGATTTGGTTGAGACATGCAGATAGTTTAAACACTTATATAGGAGTTCTTCAACTTGAGTTTGTAGATAGTTTAAACTCGTACAAGGAGTCTTAAAGTAATTTGACAGATAGTTTATACTCGTATCAAGGAGTTCTTGATTTGGTTTAACAAATAGTTTATACTCGTATGAAGGAGTCTTGGTTTGATTTGATATGTAGATAGTTTATACTCGTATCAATGAGTGTTGATTTGATTTGACAGATAGTTTATACTCGTATCAAGGAGTCTTCAAATTTGTAGACATTTTATGCTCGTGTCAAGGAGCCTTCAAATTTGTAGACATTTTATGCTCGTGTCAAGGAGATATTGATATATAGACATTTTATGCTCGTATCAAGGAGCCTTCAAATTTGATATGTAGACATTTTGTGCTCGTATCAAGGAGCCTTCAAATTTGATATGTAGACCTTTTATTCTCGTGCCATAGAGATCTGGATATGTAGACATTTTATGCTCGTATCAAGGAGCCTTCAAATTTGATATATATACCTTTTATTCTCGTGCCATGGAGATCTTGATATGTAGACATTTTATGCTCGTATCAAGGAGCCTTCAAATTTGATATGTAGACCTTTTATTCTCGTGTCAAGGAGATCTTGATATGTAGACATTTTATGCTCGTATCAAGGAGCCTTCAAATTTGATATGTAGACCTTTTATTCTCGTGTCAAGGAGATCTTGAAATGTAGACATTTTATGCTCGTATCAAAGAGCCTTCGAATTTGAGAATTTGGATAGTTGATTTGCTCATATCGAGAAGCTTTATAGATAGTTTAGGCTCATATCAAGGAGCATTAGATAGTTTAGGCTCGTATCAAGGAGCATTGTAGATAGTTTAAGCTCGTATGAAGGAGCATTTGAATTTGAGGATTTGATGGAGCTCTTCATGTAAATTGCCCCCATGGAATTGGAGAAGAATGGAAGACCACTTTTGTTTCCTCCATTTGGATGTTTGATGAACACGATGATTTTCGATGGATTCATGGCTTAGGAAAACATCATCCTTCGTTGCCCTGTGTACGTTTTCTTCACAGAGGTCTTCATGCATCTTCAAAAATCTTCGAACTTGATTTGGAGAGAAGAGATGAGAGGTAGAAAAAGTCTTACTGGGCGTGCCAAATTTGTAACAACAAATTTTATGAAAAACATAAAACTTTTGTACAACTTGATTTTATTTCGATCAAACGATATTGCGGGTACAATCTCTATTTATCTCCTCTGATTCTTCTCTTCATAGATTTGGATTTGGATATTCAAAGGTAGATTTGACGTTTACTTGAACTTCTCGACGAACACGGCTTGAATATCGTTTGGACGCTATGTTGATATTCTGGGATTGATTTGAGATGAGTGAAAGTTGTCTCTTTATTTCTTGAGAAAGAGCCGCTGCTTCTTTTTCTTCTTCTTGGCATTCTTCTTCATTGATTAGACTTGGTTGCGGTTTGAACGCCGATCTTCAACTTGAATGACCTTGGATCTTCAAGAGAATTATTGAGAACTCTTGAACTTGAGACTTTGATTTTTTAGGTGTTGATTTATGAGGTGTTGGATTTTTTGAAGTGTGATTTGTGGCATTGAGGAGAGCACTATTTATAGGTGTAGGAGAGAGAGTCTTAGAAAAGAAGACATCAATTTGATTGGTCCTTCATGTCTGCCGACAAATACTCAAATTATTCCCTTATCTAATGTGTTGCCCTTGTCATATCATATATTATATTATTATAGATTTTTTTTTTCCAAAACGATAGAGGATTTATATAACAAACGCACAAATGTGCAAAGATACAACTTGGAACGCAGCCCAAAGCTGAATAAAATGGGAGGACAGGTCTGACGACCGTCAAGAAGCCCGACACTAGCAAACACTAGAAATCGAAACAAGACACACAAGACAACAATATAATAAACACAAGGAAAACTACAACGAAAAGCTCCCCATAGGAGAATAGAGACAAGAGCTGGTCCCCACAGGACAATAAATTTCTCCCGCTCAAACTGAGGCCAACGACTCAAATCTAAAATACAGAACAAAAGCACACTGGCTAATTGCCCAGACCAAAGACACAATACTACCACAAAAACAGCAAACACACAAATATAACACTAGACAATACAAAAATAAAATCGAAAGCCCTTCCCCAATCGGGATACCACACCAAGCACAACAATGGCAGAGTGACCCTAGCGCCCGACCCAGAAACTGCAAGAGAATGTCTAATTGAGTCGGGAACAATCGGGCTCAACCCTTGTCCAGTCGAACAAACTCCACTGGCACCCGGAGACCAAAACGCCCATCCAAAACAGTCACCAACAATGGTCCGAGCCTCGAGCACATTAGTCCAGCCCAACAAGCGCCGACCAACAACCAAAACCAGGCTCGTCGACAACAAACCGACACCTCGAACCCCAGCCCTTCGAGCACCGAATAAAGCTCAAAACTAGGGTGGTCGACCACGAAATCAATAGCCGGAACCAGAGCCACCCAACGTCCTTTACCAGAGCAGACCAACGCCCCAAACCAGAGCCAACGACCGCGACTTCGAAACCCAGCCGTGAAGTACAGGATGGTCGGACAAGTCTCCACCCCAAACCCTAGATTGGGAAATTCGGGCCGCAGCCCTCTCTGAAAGAGCACCGGAGGCCGCCACAGCGGAGATACCGGAGGAGGAGTAGTCGCCCGCCACTCACTTCTAGTTCCGAGGCGAAAACCGGAATGCGGCGCGACCACCTCCCCGGCGAAAAAGCTACCTCTAATCAGCGCATCTTCACAGAATAGGGCCGCGAAGCCCAGGTGAGCTACCACCGTGCACACGCCGGCCTAACCAGGGAAGGCGACAGAAATTTGAAGAGAAGGGCAGCGACGGGATTAAAGATTTTGCCAAGAATGGATTTTGGCGAGGAATTTACTTTATCTATAGTTCATTATTATAGATTTGTTACTAAGATAGAGATGGATTTTTTTATTTAAATCTTTGAAATTTAAATATAACAAATTCCATGATTTATGGTAGCATTAAATGCGGCCTAACTTTTTTATTGAAAAATGAAAAAAACATTCTAAAAATAGAATGTAATTAATATTCTCAGATTTTTTACTTACTATTTTTAGTAAATAGTAATTCTTAATCTATTACTATATAATACGGAGAAGGAAAAATGTTTGAATAAATGTTTCATTTTCCGCTTAAACATCATTTTTTCCCTCTCAAATTTTTCGAAAATTACCTGTTTTGGAAACTCTTTTTGAATTTTTTTCATTTATCCCGCCTAACTTAATTTGATTTTGGATGTGATTTATGGAAATCGGATTGTTTTATTTTAGGATAAGATTTGGTTGTTTTTTTGTTAAATTTGTTATAATTCCTTTTCTTTAGGATGAGATGAGATTTGTTACCATTTTTTTAAAATCCGATTTGGTACATTTTTAATTCACTCGCTTTTCCTTTTTTTTTACGTTTTATTTCACTCGATTTTCCTTTTTTT